TATCTTATAGAAGATGCGTTGAATTTGAGGGATTTCCTAAAGCGGCAACAAGAGGCAGGAAATAACAATATTTTAGTGCAGTTTACTGGTTGCAGCGACCAGCGAACGGCCAGGTCGTTAGTGCGCGTTGTATCATTTGATTTAATGCTATTGCAGGTAGCAGCTATCTGGTCATCAGTGCGTTTAAGCCCTTAAAGTTGTCAAAGGAAAAAAATTAAAATGAAAATGTCAGGTTAGAAGAAAACTTAGGGTGTATTCCGTTGTTTACCTTGGTTATGGTTTTATGCTCCGTTTCTATCGGTTTCCTAAAAGTTTTCTTATTACGGAACACGGTTCCTGAAAAATTCGGTTATAACTGTCACCAAACTAACCAGCGTGAGAAGGCTGGTTTTTCTGGTTTTGTTTGTCAATCAATGTCATTTATGTGACAGAAATCCAGCAAATATTGGAAGTTCGAGCGAAATTATCATTTAATTTCAAAAATTTGCAATAATATTTTGTATTTACATCCAAAAGCAATGGAGGTAGGCAGTAAAGGTAAATAAATTTCATTAACTAAATAGAATGACTTTTTCGGACCATTTAAACTTATCATGCAGCCATTGTTTCTTAAAGCCAGGAACATTTAATTGTTTATTTCTCTATAAACGCATTTTTTAATTAAAACACAAGCTGGTATTCTACTAACCTGACGAACTAGTTGTACATAGCCGGCAACCGTTTTTTCACGTTATAGTGGCCAAGCTTCAATGCGAAAACTATCGCGAGAACCGGTAAAAACAATAGAAACTCCACCGCCCTCTTTCCAGGCGCATGTTCCCGACGGAAACTGATTTTTTCCTACGTTTTATACATATTTCTAATTTATCAATGGGGAATCGTGGATCCACCCACCCAGAGCTACTGCTGATTTCGATTCTTCTATCTATAGCGTGGGACTTGTTTATGCTGTATTTATTTATAAGGTACCAAAGATCGTTTAAGCTATAAATTAAACAATAGAACAAGTGGAAAATCAGGACACGGATTCTATGTATTCCTTCAAACGTTGTTATTTGCCATAAAAGGCTACAGGTTTTTTATAGGGTCTGGTATTATAATGTAATTTCCCTTAGACTATCGAAATAAAATTCAATTCTCATTATGCATTAAATTGAATAAAATTATACAGGGTGGCGCACCTCATTCACCTCGGTTGATTATACGAAAACGGAAAGATGTAGAAACAAAATATTTTATGAGTATCTATATGTAGAGAGGTTAGGTTAATAAGCTTAAGTTAATTTTAAACAAAGTTATATTTTTTCTTATGGAACACCCTGTATTTTATTTCATTTTTGGATTCTTGGGCATAAAGTAAGGCATTTATTATAGGGGTTTAATATGTTCAAATGCTTTTGTTTTTGAGACACCTTGTACAGGGTGGACCATTTTGGTTGTTTTTATAGGGTATCTAGGAAACCGTGAGAAATATTCAAATTTTGTTACTGCAGTCTCGGGTTCTTTTTTTGAAAAAAATACAATGGCGCAAACGGATCGAGGCTATCTTGATCGGTTTCGAAGCTACAGGGGGACTCTCAAATTTTGTACTTTATTAAGATGTTCGATATTTTGTTTATTTCAGCAACCACGAAAAAATGAATTATACATTCTAAACCGACTGAGGACATTAATATATTGATTTTATTCATCTTCTTTCTGATAATTTTTCGGACGAGGTTTTTGAAAAGATCCAAAATTGATTAAACTATCTTCTAACCTTTTAAAAATGACTGGATTTGGTTGCTCGCGCTCTGGATACCGCTCATAATATAAATAAGCTGCCATTTGCTTATATATGTTAGACTCAATATAACATTCTAACATATTATATTTCTCAAAACTTTCAAATTTACTAATTTGTATTATTTAAAATACACACACTTCAATCTGTTGAAATGAAATGTCCCGCATCCATCAAAGGGATGTTCCGATCACCATGACAACCGTTTACTTTGTTACTCGGCGTGGCCTACTATCTGCTAAGTGGATATTTTAAGAAAAAATTGAAATGTTGATGTTAATAGTGAAAATCAATATATAGTGGTATATATTTTCGAGATGCCCATACCAAGCTGAATAAGAAAATTTAAAAACATACAGGGGGTTTAAAAAAACCTAACTATAGTTAATATCTCAAAAAATATTTTTTTCGAAAAAAGTCTGACTACGCCACTGCATTCTACACAGAAAAGTGCCTTTAGAATGTATAATTCAATTTTCCGTGGTTGCTGAAATAAACAAACTATCGAACATCTTCAAAAAGTACAAAATTTGAGAATCTCCCTGTAGCTTCGAAACCGATCAAGATAGCCACGATCTGTTCGCGCCTTTGTAATTTTTTCAAAAAAAGAACCCGAGACTGCAGTATCAAAATTTGAATATTTCTCACGGTTTCCTAGATAGCCTATAGAAACAACCAAAATGATCCACCCTGTACATTATTTTTCAGACCTTGTTTTTCAACACCCTGTACATTATTTTTCTTCGAGTTAATTCTTGTGCTGACTTTGAAGCTAGAGAAATAAACTTTACTTAAAGTTTTTTATTGCTTTCTTAAATGTATACAGGGGTATCAAAAATTGCTGGTCTATTTTAAATATGTATTTTACATAAAAAGTTCGTTATTTAAAATGCAACACTATGTATTTTTTGGGTTGGTTAGGTTGCACTTAATTTAATTTAATTTAACAATCGTAACGCTAATGGAGTTCACTACAATAATTAACAGTTATTATAAAAGGAAAATGAAGTCCTTTTATTCTTGTATAATATTAATTAACTCAATATACAGGGTGTCCCAGGAATAAGTGGAGAAATTTTTATGAACTTTATTACACACTATGTATTATTTTAAATATGTCGAAGCAGATTTAAATGCTCTTTCTAACTATGTTAGTATTTCCTATACCTATGAGGCTCATATTTTGAATAAAAATCAATTTTTCAATAAAATGGCAATCAAGATGGCTGGTGTCGCCATGGTAATTTGTTAGTAACAGTCAGTAGCTATTTTCAAAATCGACATTAGTTTACGGACTTTATCACCACCTAACCAACCCAAAAAAATACATAGTGTTGCATTTAAAATAACGAAGTTTTTATGTAAAATAAATATTTAAAATAGACAAGCAATTTTTGATAGCCCTGTATACATTTAAAGAAGCAATTAATTTTTTTAGTATAGTTTCTTTCTCTGGCTTGAAATTCAGCACAAGAATTAATTTTGAAACGTAATGTACAAGGTGTTGACAATTTTTTTTATTATAGCAGGCATATTTAAATATCTTTAAATATCTCAAAAACCAATGCTTTTAGACATATGAGACTTATAATAAGTGCCTTATTTTATGTGCATGAATCCAAAAATAAAATAAAATACCGGGTGTTCTATAAGAAAAAATATAACTTTGGTATGGTACTTAGTTCTGACACACCCTGTACATTTCAAAATAATTTAACATTATGCACATTGCCTTCCCACATATACTCATAAAATATTTTATTACTATATATCTTTCCGTTTTCGTATAATAATATAGTAATAGACATCTTTATTTTTATAATTATAATAACTTGGCCATTGTACCATAATTATAAAAGGATCTACTATTCCGATTACTAATTAATACAGTGTACGTAAATTTATACAGTGTACTTAAGAATAAAGTATTTTTAATTGGTAGAATATATTGCAGTGTAATTGCCTATTTAATATTTTAATTATTATAGAAATAAAGATGTATAATATTGATACCCTCACTTATTAACATTTATAGTGACCATATCAATAATAGGACATCTTTGTTTTGATAATAGACAGTTAAAGTACGCTTAAAGACGTAGATGTAAACGTATCGTTTGACATGTACGCTTGCGCAGTGAGAAATTCACTTGCGTTTACGGATACGTGATACCACAAGTGATACGTATCTTTACGTGCCTTTACGTACGTACACAGTAAAAAATTGAGTGTTAAAATTTACACTCAAATTACACTCAAAGGTGGTTCCTATTTGTCCACACTGGTGAGTGTAATTATTATTGTTCCTAAGTATGGTGAAATATTGGTGTGATTTAACCTTTTAGGTGGGGTTAAACTAATCCAATTTAATATCTTTTTTACCCGAGCTAAAATTAAAAAAGCCAAGAAGAGAGTGTATTTTTACCAATTGTGAGTGCGTTTTTGACTACGGATAAAATCTTTTAAAACCATTTTTAAATGTAAAAATCACCAAGCGTAATGGTAAATAATCAATTTTTAAGTGTAAAAATGGTTTTAACTGAGTGTTAAATATACATAGTTTGGGTGTTAAAATAATTTATCAGTATGGTAAAATACATTTATTACAGTGTAAATTTGATTTCAGTTCGTGTACTTACCTATATTTAAAATTTAAGGTGGGAAAACATAAAAGAAGAAAAAAATTAAAAATACAAAACGTTTTTATTATATAATATAATAAATAATACAAAAAATATACCTTAATTTAGGTAGATACATTAGGTAACAACGAAACAAAAAAATATTCCTTACACAAAAAACACAAAATAAATAAAAAATGTCTATACCTATGTGGCGGATTCATCTCTCCAAAAAAATGTTTTATGGGTATTTCGCCACTGCACTGCAAGAAAATCTACAAAATAAAATAGTTATTTTTTGTAAACACTTCTGCGTTAAACCTAAACGGACACTACTTGTCAGAAGTTATGTTTACTCTTATACAAATTTATAAATAAAATTTTCAATTTTTTTTAAATAGTTTTTTTCTTTTTCCTTTGTATTTTTTTTGCTTCCGACGACAAAAAAACGTTAAAGCATTTTTTTTTTGTTAGGCAAATTTGTTTAATTGTAAACATAACTTCTGACAAGCAGTGTCCGTTTAGGTTTAACGCAGAAGTGTTTACAAAAAATAACTATTTTATTTCGTAGATTTTCTTGCAGTGCAGTGGCGAAATACCCATAAAGGATTTTATTGGCCAAAATAAAATATATAATATACCTTATTTATTTGTAGGTAACAACGAAACAAAAAATATTCCTTACTCTAGGAAAATAAAAAAATATATGTATACCTTATTTTAGGTAGGTATAGTTACGTTTGGTGGCAACGAAACAAAAAATATTCCTTACTCTAGGGAGCTATTTATAAGTAAACGCAAAATAAAAAATAATATATATGTACCTTATTTGAGGTATGAAATTGTCGCCTCGTATATTTGTATGATATTTGCAGCCTTATTTTCAAACTTCGCCACAAAGTTATTGGCATTAGCAGGATATAGCAAGCTGACATCTTGTTCAATCTAAAATTATAAAAAAATCGGTTTTAAAGTTCACTAAATTAAAATGACGTGACATACAAGTCCTAGCGTGTCCAAAAATCTGGGATAATCGACAAATGAAAAGTCATTAATTTTTCTACATATAAAAAGGTTTTTAATTTTTTCCATGATTTCCTTTTTCTGTGTCTTGCAACAAGCATTTTGAAAAAATTCTATGTCTGCTACTTCTTGTTCTCTCAATGTTCTGGTTTTTTTAAGGTTGGTTCATCTGATGGGTCATCACTATTATATGTAACGGGTGGTGGTAACTTTCGTTTGGAGCTTGGCACCATATTGGATCTTGCTACGGTTCGGAGCCTCCAAGCCACTTGAGGTTCTTAAGCTGTCATTATAAAATATCTCCTAAAAATTTAAAACAATTTTAAGGCGCTAAATTAAAATCCAGGAAAGAAATAATTATATTATAAATATGTAGGTATCGAGTCTCGCATTTCTATAAATCCGCCATTAAAATTTACAAAGCAACAAACTACTAAGCATAATCTTAGATATTTACTTACCTAACTCGACTATTTCAGACTCACATTATCTGATGTTTCATCAATTTTGGCGTATTTAGTTTTGTTGTTTAACTGAATTTTATGCATCAGTTTGCCAAAATCATGGGCACTATAACACACAACGATCAACCCGTACAACCACCAACTTGAAATAGGCAAATAGGCGTGCAGGAACGCGAAAGCAGTGGGGATATGCCGCGCGTCACCCAATATGATGGTTTTTTTAACACTCCCGAGTGTTAAAACTGCGTTTTGCCTGTCTTTATAACACGGTATGGGTGTTTTTAAGACGTATGTAAGGCAAACAACATTTCTTGGAAGGTAACATTTACACTGATTATATGATTCTTACCAAATATAAGTGAAGTTTACACTCCACACACTAATTTCGCTTTTTTTTTTGGTAGATTTGATTTTCAAAGTTTGCGTGTTATTATTTCTGTTTAATTTTATTAACGCGAGTGTAAATATTAACACTCTGATAATTTACCACACTAAATATCTTTTCTACCACCAGGTCATTTTTTACTGTGTACAAAACGCAAACGCATCGAGCCGAAGGAGTTTCGATTTTCACCCGAATGATGCCGAACGTACAAATTCATAAACAACTCCTTTCCACAACTGGCTAGTAATTAAGTTATTTCATAAATGTTGGGGCCAGTGTAACAGAACTGGGCCTATTTTATTACAATAAATTAGTATGAAAATATTAAGCATCATAATAAACTCATTTTGGAATATATTTAATTAAATGCTAGTTCTTAGTCAAAATCCATATGAGGATTCTAAAAGATGGAATCTAATAAATAATCATAAAACTGTCTCTGTTTTCCAAAATTTTTTATTACTAAGAGCATTTTAAGTTGTAAGGACTACTTTCTGTAATAAAATAATTTCCATTTATAATTTTCTTCATGTTTCGAACTTTTATAAATTTAATGTGGAATCATTGGAATAATACAGGGTCCGGCAATAGTGCGTCAGGCATCTGTAGCTCCTAGAATAAAAAACTTGAGAATTTTGTTTAAGTGCAAACCTAAAGTATGTACCAGGATGTATTTCAGGAAAATATTTTAACTTCTATAGGGTAGCTCAAAAAAGTGTGAGTGGACCTGGATGATTTTTTTTTAAATGGAACACCCTGTATATAATTGCATTTTTGGCTTCCTTTCAGATCACTTTACATAACCCTAAGATATGAATAAATATATTTCGATAGTTTCAGAGATATTAAAAAATATATGAAAAATATGTATTTTTCAGCCCTTCTTAAAAAAATTATTAAAAATACAAGAACTGTTCTGAAATCAAAACTATATTAGGTATTTACTTTAGATAGTCTGTTCTTAGTTTGTTATAAATATGTTAATCGTATATCATGCAGAATGTTCAATATTCTACGCCAAACTTTCTAAAATATAAAATAATTTTTCTTTGTTATTTTAAATGGAACACCCTGTATATTATTTTTTTATTAGATGGAGAGTTAAAAAATGAACATTTTTTGTATTTAGAGTATTTCAAAATTTTGAACGGTTTCGCAGATACGCGCAGTATTATTTCATATTGCGCTTTCAATGGTAAAATACGAGAGAAAAATCATTAGGTGGCTTTGATAAAAATTTACTGTGGAAAATGCCATATGAAATATATAACCGCAAATATGTGCGAAACCGTTAAAAATTTTGAAATACTTTAAATTCAAAAAATGTTCATTTTTGAAGTCTCCGTCTATTGAAAAAATAATATACAGGGTGTTCCATTTAAAAAAACTAGGAAAAATTATTTTATATTTTAGAAAGTTTGGCGCAGAATTTTGAACATTCTGTATAATTTACGATTTTCATATTTATAGCAAAGTAAATACAGACCATCTAAAGTAAATAACTAATATAGTTTTGATTTCAGGACAGTTCTTGTATTTTTAATAATTTTTTTTAAGAAGGGCTGAAAAATACATATTTTTTATTTATTTTTTAATATCTCTGAAACTATCGAAATATATTTATTCATATCTTAGGGTTATGTAAAGTGATCTGAAAGAAAACCAAAAATGCAATAATATACAGGGTATTCCATTTAAAAAAAATCATCATGGTTCTCTCACACTTATTTGAGCCACCCTATAGGAGTTAAAATATTTTCTTGAAATACATCCTGGCACATACTTTAGGTTCGCACTTAAACAAAATTCTCAAGTTTTTTATTCTAGGAGCTACAGATGCCCGACGCACTATTACCGGACCCTGTAGATATCCATTTTCAGTTTTAAAATTAAATAAATTGTTTCACAAAATAATTTAGAGTTACAAATGTACCATTTGCGTTACGTACGTCAAAATACTTGCTTTAACTCTTGTTTACACGACAACGCAACGACAGACGTAACGTAGGTTTCTGCGTTACGTGTCGAGAGATACGTATACGTATTGTGCCTTGCTTTAACTGTCTAATAATTGTCATAATAACTTGAGACCATTATATCATAATTTTAAAAGGATAATTTACTATTTCGATTACTAAGTATATTTAAACAGCATAGGTACTTATGAATAAATTATTTCTAATTAGTAGAATTTGTTTTTAAGTTATTATAATATTATTATAGAAATAAAGATGTAATAATATTGATATGCTCACTATAAACATTGATAAGTCATTGTTAAAATAACAATTTGTTACAATGATATTGAATAGGTGCTTCTAAACTTATATATGGTATCTATTATGATATCTAAAATACCAAATCTATGTAATAATATATCGATTTCATACCTCCCTCAACAAAGAAAGATTTCTCTACAAATCGATTTTAGATAAATATAAATCTGCGTCACAGCACAGACATCTTTTTTATTTATTGATTATAAAGTCAAAGCTTCTCCTGATACGCACTAGATGTCGCTTTATGCATCAGATAAACAAGAAAAAATAAATTTAAACATTAACAACTGGCACAACCATTCTCTACAGGCCTTAAAGTTGACTTGTCATTAAACTTAATATATTACATCCCCCGAGAAAGCGTTTAATGCTTTCGTAGAGCTGTGCGATTGCAGTTATGTTTTTATGCACGGCTATTACTCCTATCTCTGTCACTCTAATGGTGTTTTTGAAACTTAGCGCTCTGTCGGAATTTAAATTGGCGTTAATATTTTTATGGTACGACTTGTTGGGTAATATTATTTAAGTTTAGTCGCCGTTGGTATGCTAAATAGTTTCATGGGCTGATAATACAGATTGCTTAACTTAAAGTGTTGGTAAAGGGGTGCTGGTAAAAGCGTTGTTTTAGAGATAAATGTCGTTGGAAACAGGGTGTTAAAGTTATCGTCTTTTTTCGATTTATTAAGTTCTTTTAGCGATTTGAATGAAATTTGAAGGGTAAAAGTTACTACGAGTTCTACATATTTTAATGCTAAAAAAGATAAACATATTAACCAGGGACGTGCATAGGGATTATCGTTGGAATATTTTTTCCTCGATTTTTCCAAAAAAATATGTGCATAACTGACTTTTTTCTCTTGTTAGCTAAACTGTATAGAACGTTAAATGCCGATTAAAAGTTGTCTCTTGATATTTTGTCGATTTCGGTCTACAACGTCTACAAAAACCGTTGACGTTCTGTTAAAATGACATTATATTAAGTTAAACTTCAAAATTAACAATTACTACCTGATAACAATTACTTAATAAGGTAAAACCAAAAACCCCAAACTTTCTGTATGATTATTTTTAATTTTTACGTGTGTTATGTTTGTTTATGTTATGTTCTTTAAAAGCAAAGCAGCGATTGCCATACATTACAAACATCTACAGATGCATGTAAAAAAGCCTCTTTTATTTTTATTTTAGAAGCTATCGCTTCTTTCATTATAATTTTGGCGTTATTAAAATTTATTCGGTGCCCTGGCTGACAAATCTTAGATTTGTGAAAATCTCCCTTTCTTAAATAATCTTTATGTACTTTAATTCGAACATTTAAGGGTCTTGATGTTTCACCAATGTAAAATTTATGGCTTCGCATGGTATTTTATATATTACAATTTTTGTTTGTTGTTCTGGTATTCATTGGTTTAGTATGTGATAAAATGGATCTAAGTGTATTTTGTGTTTTGAAAGATGTTCGTATGTTATATTGTTTTCCTATCCTTCTTATTTTTTCTAAACGTCTCGTATGTATGGAATTGTAAGTTGTATATATTGTGTATTGTTATCATTGTGTCTATGATTTGGGGTTTATATTTCGTTTGATGTTTTGTCAATAGGTCTGTCAACAAAATTTAGTTTTCTATTACAAATGATAAATTTGTGCGGATTGAAAGACGGTACAAAATCTGGAAACAAATACTCACATTGTTTTCAAGTTATTCATAATTCCGTTTAAATAATCGCGTCGAGGCGGGAAAACGCTGCACAGGAGGCTACCGGGTGTGTGTCACATGCTCGCTATTCGCGGCGCGTTGTATTGCCAGAGACATAACAAACGGTCTGTTTCTCCGTTTTGTTGTATCCTTGCCTAGATTTAATTAGATTTATTACATTAGTTTTAGTCAAGATTTATCTGTACTAAGTTACGCCATTGTATTCAGAATTATTTGTACCGGTTCTGTTTTACTCTTAGTCATAAACGACCCTTCAATTATTATTAGTCAATGGAAAGTCCTTATTGTAAAATTATATAGCCTTTATTCCCACACGTTTGTGTTTTACGCAAACAAAGGGTCGACTAGGTACAGTTTTAACACTTAATCACACTCTTTAATTCAATTTAGTTCCAAGATGTAGCTCTTTAGTATCTTTACTTTTCGACGCCGTACATTACTTTTTACCTCTCTAAATTCCAGACAGTTCAGAGTCGGCAATTTTTATATCTAATTTTACTTTTAAAACAATTGTTAAAGTTTTCTTTATATATTAAATTAAGTATTTAATTAGGAAGAATAAAGTGTGATTTATTAAAAACAATCAACATAAGCAAAGTGACAATTTTGATCCTCAACATTGGCAGCAGAGTCTAGTAGAGTCTACTAAATAAAGCTTGTCAGACGGTAATACTGATACTTGCTGATATGTTAATATTTGGTCTGTTTAGTGTGTTGAGCAACGACCTCTAAGGTTAGAGGTCGTTGGTGTTGAGCACTTTTTATTAGGTCAGTTGTGAGTCCGTACTGAGTTTTGAATTCAAGATGGTGGCTATAAAATGGTGTTTTGTGCCTGGATGCATAAGCACAATGACTAAGACTCCAACTAAAGTATTTGTAAGTGTTCCAAAGGAAATAACAAAAATAAAAAAATGGTTTGCGAAAGTCAGACGATTATTAAAGAAGTTTCTTCAGCATCGACTATTTACTTTACTTGCGAGGGCCATTTTAATGTAAGTTTCTGTAGAATCAGTATTCATTGCGAGAAAGTCTAATACCATATTGACATCTACTTGCGGTAAATTATGTGAATATCCTTTCTGGAAACCCTCCTTCATATTTAGCAACAAAAACAAATTCTTTTACGGTATTTTACAACAAAAACAACAATGTAACTGCTGTAAATGTCGACAGTACTTCAATAGTTCGTATAGGGAGTGTCACAGTCAAACTGAATCACGGTCTTGCCGTCGCGTCTCTATTGCAGTGCATCGTGCCGCAGGCATGTGACGTCAGGCCAATGAGGGGGCGTTTATTTAATTTGAACGAAGCGCCTAACTTCAAGAGCCTCTCATGTCAACCGAGTTTATTTTTTTGGAAAATAATGTTATTTAATTGGTATTATAATACAAAAACATTAATTTTTTACCACTTTTA